ACTCAGAATCACAGAGTAGAACGGTGACTGCCAAGGGCTGGAAGGCTGGAGGCAGGCAGCTACTGTCTAGCGGCTGTAGAGTATGAGGTGTATAAGGTGAAAAGTGCTCCAGAGATGGACGGCACTAATAGCTGTATAACTTCGGAACTGCATCTGAGACCAGTGAATTACACATCTTCAAAATGGTCCAGATGGTAAAATTTTATATGTATTTCAGCACAATAAAAATGAACACAATTAAATGAAATCACAATAAAAATACCAACAAACTAATTTATGAAGCTAGATGTTTATATTCAAGAACATATGAAAAATACAAAAATTCCTCAGAAAACACAAAAAGACAAAAAAAAATGTGTAGAGTAACATATCAGGGCATTAAACATATCATAAAGCCTCTATTATTAAAATACTATAGCAGTGCTACACATTCCATAAATATACTGGAGTTATATGCAAGTTAAAAAATATAATAAAAGTATCATCACGAATCACTAGGACAAACAAAATTAGTTTTTAATAAAAGTGTGGGACAACTGGTTAGCCATTTAGAAAAAGTAAAATGAGACCCATATCTCACAGCCCACAGAAATACCCACTCTAAATAGATCGAAGATCTAAATATAAAAAATGAAGCCATACAAGTATAAAACATGGTTCCTCTTTAACTTCAATACAAAGAGACTACAACTTAAACTCCAGAAGTAATAATGATTATTTTGATTGTATAATAAAATGTTTTACATAACAAATATTATACAAGAAGTCAAATGAAAACTGACATATAGGAAGAAAATATTTTTAACATATTTCCAAAATACAACAAATTCTTTAAAAGGGGGGAAAAATAAAAGAAATCCACAGGGACCAGCCAGATAGCTCAGTGGATTAAAGTGCTGGCTTAAAGGGGTAAGATCTCCACCTGCTGTGTCAGCCCGCCCCCAGGGTGCCCTGAGAGGACAAATGAGACTGGGTGTGGTGGGGAATGCCTGTAATCCCAGGGCTTGGGAGACTGAAAACAGGAAGGATCACTATGAGTCCAATCTGTGTAGTGAGATCCCGTAGACCCTGTACTAAATACATTTTTTTTAAAAAAGAAATCAACAGAAGAGAATGATATGGACAGACTCCACACAAGAGATAAAAATGGCCTTAAACATAGGAAATGTTATTCAATCTCATTTACAGTAAGAGAAGTACAAATTAATTATATTGAAATGCAAAGTGAAATAATATTCTTGGAAATAAATTTGACAATATCTAATAAACCTGTATATAAATTTACCTGCTGACCAACATATTCACTTCAGGAATTTACCCTCAAGATATATATACCTCCACCAATATGAAAATAGATACAGACTGCAGCTTTGGTTGTTATCACAAAACACACTAAATACACAAACACAGAAGAGTGGGTAAACCACTGGTCCATATACACCATGGAATGCTATGCAGCTATGAATTTAATCTCTATGAACTACTTGGTGTTACAGTAAAGCAACTGCAACAACAGTACTAAGAAAGAAGGGAAAAGAAAATATACATGCATCTACCAATTCTTGGGGTTACAGGAACAGGAAAGATAAACAAGAAACTAGACTGACGATAGGGGTAGGAAATTTAAGAAAAGATAAGAGCAAGAATAGGATCGAGTAGATGCAGGAAATAGCATTTTGTTAAAATACAATTGTTGTATCATCTGCCCTTCAGAACTATCATGATGCTTCACATAACATAAACAAGGATGGGATGGGGGCTCAAAATGGGGTGAAACACAAACAAGTACATGAAGCTGTTTTATAAGTGAAAAGCAATCAAAGCAAACATCACAAACTCCATAAGTAACTGGGAAACCTTAAGTGATTTTTAGATAGTAATTTTAATTCACTAAGTGTATTTTAATATATTCAAGGGCTAAAGATATAAAGAATACACAGATATCACACAAGTAACAAGGAAGTTTTTCACAGAGTTGTGAATTAACTATTCCAAAGTATGCTTTGTATATTCTAAGATTAGGACTAAGAAAATAAATAGAAAGCCAGGGTTACCACTGTCAAAAGAGCTACAAATTTGAAGAGGCTTAAATGAACTCTATTGTGTTAGACTGGAACTGGAAATAGCACTGTAAATACATGACTGTTAGTATATGCTTACAGAAAATAAAGAAACAGATACAAACGTATATTTGGTGTACACATAAATATATTTCCTTTCTCAGTTCACTGAGAGGGCCCAGAAGTAGTATCGTTCTAGTACCAATAAACATTCCTATAGCTAAGATTGTTTTCCTGTATCATTCTCTGATAAAAAGGAACCAAAGTACCTTAGAGAAATGGCTAAAGGGAAGCCTAGAACATCTTGTGACACCAGCAAATAAAGAGAACATCTAAAGATGGTGGGATGTGTCCAAACAACATATGTATCAGCTTGAAAGATTTTCCAGAGCCCAAATCTGAGACAACTTCAACAGCAAATTATAATACAGTAAAACTCTGGATTGCAAGTAATTTATTCTGTGAGTATTCCACAAGATCAGCACACAATCCCAATAAATGTTAACTTGCAATACAAGTAGTATACGATGCCAAACATCACATGAGCACAACTAAGCCAATGGTTCCTCTCTCTCCCCCACTCCCACTTCTTCCCTCTCCTGCCCCATTCTCTCTCTGAAGGACTGTAGATGATCATCTCCCAACTGTGAGAGTTATGACGGAGAGCTCGTCTGCAAAGGAGCTGGAGAAAAGGGTAGAGGAATCCCTCACCTCAAATGAGATTAGGGAGATATGTACAATCTGGGAAACAGTGCAAAATTACACAGAAAAACACCATCCAAATAAGGCTGTATGGCTCAGCGGACTAAAGCATCTGTTTAAGCAGACACAGTGGCTAAGGTTCGATCCCCAATCTGCTGTGCCAGCCCCAGCCCCACTCTCAGGGTGCCCTGAGACAGCAATTGAGAATGGGCGTGTCGGTGGGCACCTGTATTCCCAGCTCTTTGGGAGGCTGAACACAGGCGGATCACTACAAGTCTGATCTACGTAGTGACATCCTGTAGACCTTTACTAAAAATACAGAGAGAGAGA